ATCTATTTATCCTTCAGGTAGAGGAGAGACCTCATTCTTGTCTAATCAATATAGACATCACAGATTAACAACAAATCTTCATATAGGCAAACAGAGCAGTCAATAGCTTATTATTATTTAACAAGGATTCCATTGTCAGTGTGCTGGGAAGAAAAATATTAGTAGAAAAGTCTGTGTATAGTATTATAAATACTGCTCTAATATAAAGGGCAGAAGATGGGAAGCACCCTATTATACAAAAATTGGCCTCGAGAGGGCTTCCCTCGTGGCGCAGTGGCTGAGAGTCCGCCTGCCGATGCAGGGGACACGGGTTTGTGCCCCGGTCTGGGAAGATCCCACATGCCGCGGAGCGGCTGGGCCCATGAGCCATGGCCGCTGAGCCTGCGCGTCCGGAGCCTGTGCTCGGCAACAGGAGAGGCCACAACAGTGAGAGGCCCGCGTACCGCAAAAACAAAAAGAAAAACAAAACCAAAAATTGGCCTCAAGAGATTTAGGATCTTGTCCATATAACTAGCTTGTCCAGCCAACTAGTTATACGAGTTGGACTGGTCAGTTGCCATCTTTAGACCTCCAGTTCTTTGTTGGAAAGATAAGAGACGTTGATCAAATTGTCCCAAAAGCCTACCTTTCAGCTTTGAAATCCATGACAAATAAATATTATATTTTGAATTTTCATTAGGTTAAGGATTTAACAATCAGCTGAAACAGGATGACTAACCCATAACATGTTCCAGAAAAATAAGAAATGACATGTTGAAGAGCATTTAAATTGAACAAAACAGATTTGTGTGTGTGCCACTATTGATATACAAATGCTGAATGTGTTTTACTGTATCTACCGAGTGTGAGTGATAGGAGATGCATCAATTTCAAGGTTTGTGAATTTAAGTAAATTGTCAGTGGTATCGCTTCTTTAAAAAAATTATATCCTTACAGAGAACAGACAAATTGAGACAGATATACATAAAGCATCAGTTTAGCACAAATATCCACTTACAGTTGTGAAAAAAATGTGTATATATGTGTGTGTGTGTGTGTGTATATATGCATGTAGTTGGGAATTTTTCAGAAAATTTGAAGAGCGTTTTTTAAATGCTTATGCTTTTTAGAATGCTTAACATTTCTGTTTTGAAAACAACTTGTCTTCCTTTTCAAAATGTACTAAGCTTGCTCTGATGTCAGAGTGAAGTATTTTCACAGGATTGGGTCAGCCTCCACTCAACAATTCTTTTACAGAAAAGAAGCCAGTGGTGAAATGAGAGTTGAGCTCATTAACTCCCAAGTCCTTAGCTCCTTTTCCAAAGCACTATAAAACCCTCCAATGTATTGATAGAATCAAGAGGAGGAAAAGAAGAGGATATAGTTTGTCTTTTACTGAATTATTAAGTCCTTGTCATCACCCTTTTCCCTTTCTACCCTGACCCTTTCTTCCTCCACCTTGCATTTAAATTTTCTCATTTTGGGCCTAAAACGTGAGAAAGTCTGGTGCAGAAAAAGAGAAAACAAGCAAAGAAAACTTTTTAAATCTCTCTTCCACTGTTGTTTTCTTTTCCCCTCTCATTTCTGTCTGTATCTAACTTAGATTGTATTTATTCAAATCCTCTTTATATCCAGGATATTTTAGGTTTCCAATATTTTTTCACTGAATAAAGATAGCTTTAAAATTTTTAAATGTATGTCACAAATATTTTACAGATAAATTCGATTTAAAACATAAGTGAATATCAAGTGAGAAAAGCACAAACATAGATTTTCTTCACAAAACGTATAGGTATCTGCTTTCACCTTAAAAGATATTTTTTAAATTTATAACGGAGGCCACTAGAAGTAAGTTCATATTTAGCAAGATCAGCTAAAAAAAAGAAGGAATGGATTTGATGGGAGCCCGCCCTGGGTCTAATTTAGAAGTTTCCATTTATGTCATGTCAGATTTGGGGAGACTGAACCCTCAGTGAGTGCATTGGTTTGACTGTCTTCCAAGCTTGATACCCAGGGTTCACGACTGCAGTTCCTGGCACAGTCATAAATATTCATACCTCTACTAATAATTTGCAAGCCAAATTCATTTGGCTTTTTTCACCCCATCAATCTTATAATTAATAAGGGTGGTGCTCTTATTTCACTTTCCTCCAAAAGAAAAGATAAATGAAATAAAGAGTCATCCTGTAAATTTAAATAGGAGTGCCTCTCGCTGATTAAAAGCTGATGTTATCATATAATGGTGGAAGGAGAGGCTTCAGCTATTTCTCTTACTGGTGGCTGGAGGGGGCGATGGTGGGGGGGGGGGCGGCAGATTAGAGCCAAGGAAGCATTTCCAGATGTGGCGGCATGAGCCTTGATCTGAAAAGCTTCGTTATCTATTCAATAAATGCATAGGAGAACTTTGTGCTAGTATGTTGAAAGTGAGTTGTAAGGTATATATTTACAAATTGCACTCTTATCTATTGTTTAGATAGATAGACATTAAATATAGCATGCTAATGTCCAGAGAATTAGATTCTAAACAGTCTGCAGTTCTGCCTGAGGTTTAGAAATTTAGAAACATTTTAGAAAGTTGTTAAAATTTAGTGATGATTGTGTCTTTAAAATGACTGCCTTTAAATTAGCCTGATAGCTGTGCTTCTAAATCTAATTGTAAAGACTAGGTCTCCACAGAAACATTAAAGGAGGCATACATCACAAAATGACTTTACAAATAAATCATGGCGCATAGGACATGGTATAAAATGTCCGCTCCCATTGGATTTTCGAAGGTCATTTATAGCAAAGCAGGAAAATCAAATTGAACATAATTTAGAAATAAAATTTTGATAATTGAGCTAAGTAACTTGAACTTGTCAATCACCTGTGACCTTATTCTATTTACACTTTCACTTGAACATTCAAAAGTCCTAAGGCCGATGGATAAGCGTCAAGTATAAACAACTGCCCTCGTCTGTGGCGAGGTGGGGGGCAACATCTCCCCGCTGTGCAGATTATTCGTTCTGTATTAGAATTAAGAGACCTGGATAAATGAGTAAGCAGAAAAAGCTTAACTTTGTAGTCAGGTGTTTGCCTCTAACTTTCCTTAAGGGGAGCTTACTTTAAAGATGCAATACTGTGTTATTTTTGTGTACTGCTTAGTTTATCTTAGGAGCTCCTGTCACTTGAGTTTCCTTATTGAGACCCTTTCCCCCTTTCACTTATGTGACGGTAATGTAAAGGGACACTAGGCGCTCTTAATGTTCTTTATCCTTAAAGCTTATATTTAAGTGTCTTGTTTCATAAAAGCATGTCATGTTCAGGACAGTCCTTTAAAAATGTCTAAGCACGGTTTACACCTTAAGTTTTCCACCTTAATTCTATGGGAATATAATCACACGTTTAATTTACTGCAAATTTTATTTTTGCTTTTTTCTATTGACATTTAAAATAGGGGAGTAAATGAGAGAGAAGCAAACCTAGTTCTTTAACAGGGCCTCCTTATGTTTCCCCAGACCTAATCTGTCAGCTGCTTCAGGGGAGACACGGGACCACAAGAGCCCGAGGTTGCTTATCCAAGACTCTGGATAAGCAGCACAAGCTGGGAGTCCAAGACATCTCTGTAAGGGGTTCTCAGCAGGTTTGGAGGTTGTGAGTCTTAATTTGGCCAGGTTTCTTCCTGGGGAGTCTGCAGGTAACTGGCTCTCTACTAAGCCCTCTCAACCTTGTTGGCTGAGGGGGAATCCTGGCTAATAGTGTCTGTCTCCTCTCCTCTCCCAGCGACTGTTCCAAAGCAGAATTAGACCCACCAAAGCTGATGGGGACTTTCTGGGTCTTTGCTGTTGCTCTCCTAGCTCATCAAAACAACACAACAGCAGTTTTACCACAGGGGAGCCATTGAAGGGATGACAGAGAGATCTAGGGATGACAGGGGGACTTCATGAGGGGTGAGGTTCGGGTGGGGAGCTCTGACAGTCACCCTTTCTCAGGTTCCAAATCTGCTCCTGGAGCCAGAGGCGGGTCTTCCATCCCTGGTACCACCCAAAGTCACCCCGCGGACCTGATGCCCCCATCCTGGCAGAGGCTGCTGGAGCGGGCTAGTGCTGGAGCAGGCTGGGCCTGAGCAATGCCTAGTGACCTTCTCTATCTTTAAAGGCCGCTGCAGGCTGAGCACTTAAGAAGTTGGGGCACCTGCTCTTCTGGTCGCAGACTTTCTCACTTGCCAGTGTGGGACCCCTGGCAGTCGCACCTCAGCAGCTAGGAGGTGCCCGCCCCGCTCTGCTTCTCCAAGCCTTTGGAGTGGTTGGGACCTAAGGACTGAATCTCTTCCTAATTCCCTTCCCAGCAGCCAGGGAAGAGTCTGGGGGGAGAGCAAGGTGAAAAGCACCCCTCCTCACCCAACCCCCAGGCTGTAGGTGGGTGTCCTCCACAAGGCCCAGAGCAGCAGGGGGCCTTGTTCCCCAGGACACCCCAAGTTCTTGTGGGGCACCAGCTGTGCTCTTCCTCAGCCAGAGGGACCTGAGGGGTCTTGCAAATATGTTTTTGTTTTGATGTTTTTCCTTTCCCTTTTTTGAAGAATGACTGGAGAGGTGAGAGAATAGGGTCGGTTTGGGTCAGAGAGCAGGAGATAGTAATTACAGAGCTTTGTGGCCGTTTCTGTGCATGTGTGCCTAGGTCACTTGTGTGTGTGTAACACAAAGAAGCAGGGAGGGGAGAGAGAGAGGGAGAGGGAGAGAAAGAGAGAGAGAGAGAGAAAGAGAAAGAAAAAGTGACAAGGCCAAAGAACGGTAGACCAAGGAGGTCTGTGGAACTCAGAGACGCATCAGACCCAGCTAACTTCCCTGGCCTTACCTCGCAGGTCTGGAATAGACACCTATAGCTTGGGGTTCACTTATCCCTTTTTGTTCACCAGTCTCAAAAACTTTCTTTGTTCCCCAGGACCCGAAGAGAGAGGCTGGCAGGAAAGTGGGGCTGGAGTGACTGTGCACAAAGGGTCAGCCAGGAGAGCTGGGCTCCTGGCTGGGCTGCCCAGGACTCACCCTGCTGGCTTGTGGGCCTGCCTGCCTTCAAATCCTTCATCCAGGTGAGTACCAATTCAGCTTGTTTTCTGTAAAAATGGAAATTATGAGTTATGTTGATTATTTTTCTTTTTCAAAGTCTCGTTTGCCTGAGATTGTGTTTACCAGGCAAAGTGAAGTGGAGCGCTAAGAAGAGTTTGGATAATTCCGAATTCAAACTACCACAAATGACAATTTGTGGTAGAGTGAGGATGGGGCTACTTTTGGACAGTGACCTGGACTGGCTCTGTATTTGGATAGAAATAATCCTACCAATATATTACTACGTGTGTGTGTACACAGTGTCATCAATATCTTAAACCTCCCAATTCTATTGGATTTCAAAAAGTGAATGGTTGACACAGACCAAGAGCCTACTTATGTGTGAGTGTGTTTTGGGGAAATACTTTGGACCTAATGGATCTGCCTGAAATACACAAAGACACACAAAATAGAGGAGGAGAAAAGGAAATTCACATTAACTCTGGGAGAGAGGAGGAGGGACGGGAAGATAGAAGAGGGGGAGAAGGATGAGGGGGGTGGATGGTGTGGGGTGTGGGAGGAATAGAGACGGAGACAGAGAGATTTTTCACACGTGCAGACCAAGGGCTTTGAGGCCCTTGACCCCGACCCCCAAACCCAAGTGCATCTCACAAAACAGGTTCGGCTCGTATTTCAGGCCATCTCCTTACCCCGTGTACGCGGTCCCCGGGGCCCTAATTCACTCCTGCCCTCTCCACACAATGACGTTCGAACCTGGGAAAAGAATTGCATTAGAGCAGATTACTCATAACTGATAGTTATCCGTCTTTTTCTGTTCGACAGAAGTCTATTAAACTCAGCAAAGCCATTACCAGCTGAGCTCTAGAGCGTGCCTTCATTAAGAAAATTAAAATCATACTTTTGAATCTAAGCAAAGCCTGCGCAGGTCTCCAGAGCCCGCGTCAAACCTCCAACGCTCTCTTAAACCCGATTTTCCCGCGAATCCATCTCTGCTTTTTGGATACCGTAGGTCAGGGTGAAAAGATTGAGTGTGATGACAATCACTGAAATATAGGGATGTCTGAGCTCTGAAGTACCATCTTTCTTCCCAGCCCCCCGCCCCCTGCCCCCTGCCCCCCCCCACCCCCCCGCCGCCTTTCCTTCTTAGATCTTTTCTAGTGCTTTCCAGTTAAAGGCACAACACCTGTGCAGGTGTGGCCCGGGATTGGGGAGCTGGCGGGGTGGGGGAGGCGGAGGTGGGAGACGGGGAAGGTGTGGTATGGTGGCCCCCGAAGCCGCGTGGAGAACATCCCCAGCTGATGTCTGCGGCCAGAGGCCCGCTCCAAGCGCACGTGTCTCTCTCTCCGTCTCTCTTTTCTCTCTCTCTCTCTCTCTCTCTCTCTCTCTCTCACACACACACACACACACACACACACACATCCTAGCGCGCAAGGGGGACAGGGACCCCCTCAATTGCATTTCACACTTGCTCCGGGACCAAAGTGGCCTCAGAGCCTTTGCCCACCCGGGCACGGGAGCCTGGCCCAGGATGGGGAAGGCAGCTGCGTGTGCCTCAGACAGGGAACCTCCTTCCCTTTGGCTGGGTCTTCGGCCTCTGGGGGCCTGGTAGGGTTTCCTCCTTGGTTAGTAGCAGGAACCTCAGCTATCGGTACCCCTTGAAGATTGGGGGCGCAATCGGCCCAGCTCCTCGCCTGTCCTGTGTCCCAGCGAGGGGAGGAGGGAACAGGTGTGGAGCGCGGCGGGGGCGGGGGACGTGGGGGCGACACTCCCTCCCCTCCCGGTGGCCTCAGGGTAACAGCTCCCAGTGCTCCGGCCGAGGTGGGATCTCCAGCTCCACTTTCAACTGGAAACATCACCAGGCAGGAGAGCTGTGTGCTCGGCTCAGAGGGGGCGCGTTTACATTGATTTTCTGTGGCATCTGGAAATTTGCTGGGTTTGAAGAATAATTTTTAGCATGGTTTACTTTTTTGTTAGCCACCGCCCTTCGTTTCAGCATTTTGCTTGGTAAAATGTTAATTACTCTGTATTTCTCTGAAAAGTCTGCCCAACTCAGGGCTCTAAAGGAAAACACAACGGCTTTGGCTTTTTTTCCTCGTGTCCTTTCCTAGGTCTCTAAAAGCAGAGATGCACTGCTTCCATTTTTGTCAGAATGCCCCATAATAGAGTTCTCACCCCTCTTTATGTCTAATGAGGGCTTTGAGGTTTATTAGGGGAAAATAGCACACACCCCCTCAGCACTCAAATACAGGATTAGGTGGAGCTTACTTGAAAGTGTATATATAATATTGTTGTTCCTTGGCAAGTGTCTAATTCTCTTTCCCATAACTTCTATTTGACACAAAATCCTACAAAATTCAAGTGATGAAAGTCAGAGAATAGATGTGGATAAGTGAACATCCTTTTATCATCTCCACAGTTTTCAACCTGCTAAACTGGTGGATATTAAAAAAATTTTTTTTCAGGGAAAAAGAAAATAAAACAAGTGCACCTTCACTGTTGTTAGTGTTTTCTTCTCATTGAATGTAGACACATCATTAGATTTATTTTTTCTTTGTAGCAAAAGATGAGGAAATCAGAAATGAACAGCAGCCTTTTAACAGCAGCAAATCCCAAGACTTTTGAGATGGTTTTCTTTGCTTCTGTTTTCCCTTCTTTGCCCTTCAAGCAAAACAAAAAACAAAGATAAAAAAGAAGAAACACCATTCCTAGTGGAGAGTTTATTTTGTTGCCACAATAAAGGGGTGGAGACAGTTAATAGCTATTTGAGATGATAATGCTTAGTGATCCCATTCATTTAATCACAATCTTCAAGTGGTTTAAGATTAAGGTGTTTTTGGTCTCTTCCTAAGGACCTTTATGTTAATTTACTTAGAACATTGCCCAGACTGTCAATGTCTCCAAATTTCATTAAGTCAAACTGAGACAAATACAATGAGATCTTCATATTTTCTTCCTCTGTGAGACTATCGACTGGAATTATTTTTATTTGGATTCAACTGCAGTGGGGGTCACTTGCTTCCTTTTCTCTATTATAGATAGATATATAAAATACGTGTGTTACGTATCCACACACCCACATACATATTTAAATGAACCAATATTGTTTACAGATAACTTCCCTTTCACTTCTGAGCTTAATGAAGACCTTTCAAAAAGTCAACTCCAGTGGCAGGAGACAGATTCTGCTTCACCCAGGCCAGGATTTATGTTTAAAGTAAGTTTGAACGCCCTGAACTTCTTCAAAACAGACAAAAAATAATGAGAACAACTTGGAGTATAAATATTTAACTTCACCTCAGTTGTCACGACAGCCCCAGCAATTCTTCAAACACAACCGGAATGAGGCGTCACTTCACTGGCATCAGACCATCAGACCGGGCTGCCTCCGCCTTGCCCTAGGAGCGCTCGTCCCCTGAAGCCCCCGGGTGCCCGTCCCGGAGCGTCCCCAAAGAGGAGGATTGGAGAAGGCGTGACGCGGGGCGGGGGGGGGGGGTGCTCTAGGGAGAAGCGAGGCAAGAGAACGGATTTTTAAACTCTAAGGTCCTGATCGTCTGGCAAGAAATGAACATCAAGAGACCCACCTTTCCCCTGCCGTCTTCCCTGCCCGCTGTTCCTTCCCCTCATTTCTCAGAGCTGTTTTCACAAAATCCTGAGATCCCGTACCTGCAAAAAGCAACCCCCCAAACTCCCTAGAAACTAAAGTCGTTCGCACTGTAGATTTACGCTCTTTCTGTGGGGTCTGGCTGTGGGCAGAAGACTTTCCGCGTCAGAGCTGCTCCGCCCGCGCCTTTCGCGGGAGGAGAGGCTGGTGGCGGTAGCGGGTCGGCCGGCCAGAGGTTGTCCCAGCTCCCGCTACCTGCTCGCCCTCGCCTTACTGTGGTTAGAATCCCGGGAAGATGCACTGGGACGCCGAGAAAGCGCCTCTATGCACCGAAAAGATTGAAAAATAACCCCGACACTCTCTCTCATATAGTACCAGTCCCACACCTTGCACTGGCGCGAAGCACCCGGGTAAGATCAAGTGTCAAAGACAGTGGCGGTTTATTTTGGTGCATTTCAGCTCCCCTTTCCGTTTCCAGCAAAATTGAGAACACAGGCGGAGGAAAAACAGGGACCTTCGTGGGGGGGAAAGACCTCGTGTGTGTGTGTGTGTGTGTGTGTGTGTGTGTGTGTGTGTGTGTAGGTAGGTACGGTGACAACTTTCAAGTACATTCTCTATTTAAAAACAAAAACAAAACCCGGACAGAGGCCGATATTTCTTTGCGGTGCAGGAAAGGGTCATTCAAGAAAAGGAACTGTCTGAATTCCGAAAGCGATTTCTCGGGACTTTACTGAAAAACTGAGAATTCCCCGGGAGTTTAATTTGGCCAGACTGTAAAATGTTGTTTTGTATTGGCCTCTTTCCCCATCAGATATCCATTTTTTAAAAAATACTACAAGCATCTATTAAAAAACATTTCCTTGGACTAGAAATCTACAGCTCGGCAGAAAGAAACAAGCCAAGCAAAAACCCAGAGAATAAAGAGATTTAGAATTAAAAAAACCAAAACTGTGCCCCTTTCTTAGTCATTTGATAGTTTTATTCCCCGGAGACTCAGTGAAGGTAGGGGTTCGTACTTTATTATTTTATTATTCGTATATTATTATTTATCATTTATTCACTTAAATGCTCAGCCTTGACAAACTGTTTCCCCACCGCGGGGTTCTTTTGCAGAACCCAAGCCGGGGTGGTGGAACGAGTCAGGTGAGCGGGGTGCGGGGCGCAGAAAGAAAAACACTCTTTGCTTCGCAGAGGGCTGACCCGCAGCAGTCTACTCCGCTGGCCAGCAGGGGGCGCTCTTATGTTATCTCTGGACCAGACAGCCGAGCGGCTCAGAGCTGCAAGACAGGCTTTGCACTTTTACGCAGCTGCAAAAAGAAGGGGAGGGGGGAGTGGAGCTCCTAAACCCTCAGCAGCTCTTCCAGTTGGGTTATTTACCCTCTGTTCGGCAACATACCCATGTGTCACTTTACCTACCCACCCCGCTTATAGTGCACCCCCCTCTCCATCAACCCCTTTTCATCTGCATCTATGAAGCACATGTATAATCTCTCTCCCTAGCCTTGAAATATACATTAATGCAACTTATTAAATGCGACGACGAATAGTCAACATTTTTTTCGCCTGTTAGTTCCGCTGATCCAAGCAGGATTTATTTGCAGCTCTCACATCCCGGAGCCATAATGCGTGATTTTTTCCCCTTAAATAAAATTGGTCAAATGTTGACAACCTTTAAGCCAATCTAACACTCAAGATTAGTGATGGGAAACTAATGAGAAAATATAAGATCGCCCGGCCTGAGGGCTGCCAATTAAATCTTCGCTGATTGAAAAATAAAGGCGGACTTGGGGTGTGAGCCCAGCTCAACTTCAACTATTAATTTAACATGTTGCCGGGGTCCCTGCCTTCTCTCCTCTAAACTGCTTCCCGTAATAGACCTTCCTCCTCCCCCATCCTTCAACCTAAAAAGCCAAATGCTATTTCTCCGAATATTTCAAGAGGTCCAAATCAGGATGATCATTTCTTACACGGTAAATATTAGGCCTTTAAGCAATATGATTTAACTAATTAGAAAATTTACATCATTAAGTCTCAGGGAGAGAAAAAAAGAGAAACAAATCTGCCAGTCATTTTAAAGGAGACAGGCACTATTGAAGTGTGAAGAAATCGGCTCTAATTCAAAAAGGCAATCGGGCAGAAAAAGCCCTCAACATTACCCTGCTAGTTATTAATCAGAAAGGGCTCTCTCTCCTCCCCACTCCCCCTCCTCTCTTAGCGCTGAGTTTAAGTTCGTTTTTTTGCCAGTGGCCCATGTCATATTTATATTGAGGTTTTGTCTGCTAAAGGATGGAAATCTGAAAATGTTTCAATATGAAGAAATCAGAATCCTCAAAGGAAAAAATATTCACAGAATCACCTTTCTTCCAGACAAGTAAACCTGTTATGATGAACAATCCTAACCCCCTCTTTATTTTTTTTTTCATTCTTTCGTTTTTTCTTCCCATTAAGTTCCTATTTTGAAACCTGCTTGGTGAGAACTGAAGTCTTTGTGTCCTGCTCCCCTCCCCCTCCTTTCTTGCACCCCTCCTTCTGCCAAAGTGAGAAACTTAGACTGAAAGCAGAAAAGTACAAATACATTAACAAAGCCCCACTCACTTGATAAAAAGGCCATGGTCTAGGCGTACATGTCAGGAATCTAAGGGAAGGGGAATCAATCCGGTGGGTCTCTGGACAAAAGATGATGAACTAGAAATTCCCCCCACCTATGTATAATAATTGATAGAGTATGTAATTAAAGTGAAAAAGAAAGGCAGGTAGGTGAGAATTATTTTAAAGTGCATTATTATGTTGTGTGGCTTTTTCTCTATTCCCCCCTTCTCCATTCAATCTTTAAACAGCAGACTCATTATAGCTAGGTGCCCCTTCCCACCTTACTCTTACTTAAGTCCTTGGTGCACCACACACATAGCCCTGGTCTACTCATTCCCAGCAAATTAACCGAAGAGGGAACCGCAATGGAACTTTGTGAGTAGTTCCATTTGGAAACTCAGGCCCTTCCTGGCATCTCTGAGGACTTGTTCTCAGACACTGGGTTAAGAAAAAAATTAATAACAAGCTTTAGGTATTCAATTTCCCTTCATTATTATTTATTTTTAAATTACAAAGAGGTCCCAAAGCCTCATTTTTCTGCCTTGCTCTATTCTTTTATTGGGTACCATTCCAGCCTCATTTTCTTAACCTCCTCTCCGCCTTACAATCTAAAAGTTTCACAACCTTGCTTCCCACCAAGTCCCTGGGCCTGGAATTCTCAAGTGTTTGGGCTTCTGCCGGCCTGGAACAACTCTCCAGCATTAGTTCAATGCCATTCTTCACCTTACCAGATTTCAACTTTGCAGGAGAGAGCAGTAGCAGATCTGGGCTATTAACACACCACAGTTAATTCTCTGCGGGAACTTTTACTAGGTGGGACGTGTGGAAGGAGAAAACATCTGTAAACAGTGAGCGCTCTTGAGGGTGGGGAGAGAGTTCTGACATAAGAGGTCAGAACACATATAAATGTTCGCAGAATTTGTGAAAAAAACAGTTCGGAGTTAAATTTTGGCGAAATAAGGAAAGGAAAGAGCATGGGGGGACATTGGGAAGAGTCTAGAATGCTCCCCCAATTTAGCTTTCTTTCTGACCGTCACGGAGCAGATGGGAGTCCAACGTGCTCCTCTTCGAGAAAGATTAGAGTAAAATGGGCACTTCGTCACTTTCAGGAGGCGGGACACAGAGAGGTGAAAATATACAAGACAATGGCCTCTGGCGCTGGAGGGCTCCCCTGGCGGGCTCCCACCCTTTGCCCAGTTCCTCTCGGAACTCTCCTTACCTTTGTTGCTTGGATTTGATCTGACACACTGGATGTTCCTGGGCTAGGTTCTTTGAGAGGAAAAAGACCACGAGAATCAACCGGTCTCCTCCTGCAACTACTCCGAAGCCAAGAAGCATTACAATAAAATTTACAGCGCTTTTAACAACTCGCAAGTAAAGCATTAAAATTCTCTTTAATTGAGAAAATATTGATTTTTAAGTCTAGAAAAAGAGAAATCGTAATTTAGTTGCAAACTTTCAAGCGGGAATATAGCGTACTATGTGGCTGTGTTATGGATCCACTCTTTATACACATGCAACATCACATCTTTAATTGCGCTACTTTATAAAGTGATAAAGACAAAAGATAACCCGACTTAGGCAAACGATTAAGAAGAAAAAAAAAGGACCTAGAATAATTTCCTTCTCCAGTTATTTATAAAAGAATTGTCTCCTTTTCTGAAGCAGAAAAACAAAAACAAAAACAGCCCAAAGGGGAGGAAAGAAATAAAAAGAACGGAAAACCACAGACCAGCCTAAAAGCAACTCACATTAGCAAATCCGTTGATATTCTGTACCAATGGAGGAATGAAGCCAACACATTTAGAGAAAATGCATTCACGGACAAAATTGCATCCTCCTTTAAACGAAACAAACCTGGGTCTTTTTTCTTCCTTTACTCCCCCGTCCTGTTTGGGGGGGGCAGAATCCATTGGTGGATAGGGAAGGGAAAGAAAATCAGGCTTTCTATGTTATTTCTCTATCGGTTTTTGGTATTACAGAGGAGTAAAGAAGTTTTTGTGTGGTGGTTTTTCATTGATCAGTCACTCTGAGCTAATGTAATTATCCTCATCAATAGGAGGCTGCAGAGAGAATCATTATGTGGGTGACATTGATAAATGATCGCCCAGGAACGGCCCTCTCGCGGGCAACCCCACATCTGACCCTCCCACACACACAATGTAGTCATAGAAACACCTAGAGAACCTCGGGCACCGCCGCGGAAGGGGCAAGAGAGGGAAGAAAAGCCTCCGGCGGCCGGGGCGGGGGTGAGGGCGAAGGGGGGCGGCCAGTCCCAGATC